ACTGTGCTGGGCTGTGCTCATTGCCGGAGCCTCTCTGCGCCCTCAGTGCACCCTGGCACTGGCCCCCGGGCGTGCTGGAAAGCGGAACCTGCGGGGCACAGGGAGGAGTTTGCATAGAGCTCTGGCCTTGTCGGCTCCTCCTGCCAGCCTGTGGGTGCCGGCGGGTGGCTGGGCAGGGAAGGGAGCCTCACGCCTCCGCCTGCTGGGCTCTTCCAAGCGAGTCCCGGCCCTCTCCCCGCCCGGCGCCATCTTCGGACTTCGGCCACGCCACCGGGCTGAGGGAAGGAGGGAGGGGGGAGTGGAGGGAGGAGGGAGAAGCGCCCCCCGGGGGAGGCTGAGCCCCTTCCTGAAAAGTTCGGCAGGGTCTGACGCTCCTCAGCCCCCCTGTAGATTACGCGCCTGTGCTACCTTGATTGAGTCAATCCTTCTCATGTTGGGTCTTCTTCTTTTACTACTACCTTAAACTTTTCCTAGCATTATTGTCTTTTCCAGTGACTCTTGTCTTCCTTTAGGATTATACCATAAATGAAATATGAGATGGGTTATTAACAGATTCACTCGTGTAACGCTTTCTTCTTTTTTAGCTCCAGTTTCGAAGCCACGCTTCCTCTTTACTGAAGGAGCAGTGTTGGGACGTCCCTTTGTTTTACGCTGCTATTCTGAGAATGGAACTCTGCCTATAACATATACGCTCTACAGAGGAAACATAACCATTGGCCAAACTGAGGTAGAAAACGATGTACTAGCAGAGTTTAAAGATAATGCGACTACGGAGCACCGTCAAGGAGAATACAAATGTGAAGCTAAAAACGGCCATTCTAAGAAATTCCAGAGCAATGGGCTCAACATCACAGTGATAAGTAAGTGCTTCAGATACATACATAAGAGGACTGAGAATTTTTACAGCTGCAAAGTTTCTGTAGTAAGGACATCCAGGGCCCAAGTCTGGCTCTCAAAAGCTTTTCATCTGACCATTAGTTTTACACCTGATTCAAATGACCTGCCAGTGGTGCAGTGGTTAAGAGCAGTGGACTCTAATCTGGAGAACCGAATTCATTTCCCCACTTCTCCACATGCAACCAGCTGAATGACCTTGGGTCAGTCACAGTTCTCTCAGAGCTGTTCTCTCAAGAGCAGTTCTCTCAGAGCTCTCTCAGCCCCACCTGCCTCATAGGGTGTCTGTTGTGGGGAGAGGAAGGGAAGGAGATTGTAAGACACTCTGAGACTCCAAGTGAAGGGTGGAGTATAAATCCAATCTCTTCTTCTTCTTCTTCTTCTTCTTCTTCTTCTTCTTCTTCTTCTCACCTGCCCAAGGATTTTGTATTTCAGTCATTTTTTCAGTCCAGGTCTCTGCTGGAGAAGTGGGGAATACACTGGTGATGAAACCAGCATCTGGTAAGGCAAAGACTTAAATGATTGCCTGCAAGCTAAATCTAAAGCTAATAAAATAAACAATGGTATCATTTTATGACTGAACTGAACTGAGCCTTTGGGATTTTAGGAAGCCTTTTCATCCTGATTCATCTGAGGCTGCCAAGCCAGCTAATGACAATCATGAAAGATTTGAAAGCCTCATCATAAAACCGTCTATTGGATACAATAACAGAAAGAATGAAGGTAGTGATCTGAATACTCAGTCAAAACCTTCCAACACAGAAATGTATTTCTCTGTAAGACCTGCAGCGATACTGCTAGCCCAAGGGAGGGAGTTCTACAATCAGGGGTCGTTTCGTAGAAAAAGAGCTAGGGGAACTCATTAGCATAACTCATTAGCATATGCCACACCCCCTGACATCACCAGAAGTGTGTCATAAGGCCACACCCCCTGACATCACCGGAAATGTGTCATAAGGCCACACACCCTGCCCCCAACGGTCCCGGCTGCCGCCGCTGGCCTTGCAGTTCCACTGCCAAGCCCCATGAGGGGCCCGGCGGTGGACTTTACCCTCCCTCTTCTCCTGCCTCCTCCTGGCTGAAGGAGGGCTGGAAGCGGGGCGGCCAGAAGCAGGGGGCGGGGCTTCGTCATGTGCCCCACCCCCCGTACCTCACCCGGGGGAACTGCGATCCCCCTGCGATCCCCCCCCCCGAAATGACCTCTGTCTACAATGCAAGGGTGGCAAACAAAAGGGTCTTCCCTTGGGTCTCCTTTGGTCTCACCTCAGACTACACAGGTTCCTGCAGGAAAGCCCTACTCATGGATTTCCAAGCTTGGACAGGTTTATGTAGGAGAAGAGACACTGCTTCAGGTACTTTGAGCCCAAGCTGTTTAAAGTTTTCATTTCTGTGAAACCAGCACTTTGAACTGAGCATGGAAGGAAATTGGAAGCCAGCATAGCTGTGTATTAAAAATGAACGTATGTTCATTTCAGAAGGATCCAGTAAGGATCCTAGCGGCTGTATTTTGTACTAGCTGAAGCTTCCAGACTGCCACCCCACAGAGCCTGAATTGCAACAGGCTAATCTGGATTTATCCCCGGATGAGGAACAATGCACTAGTTCAACAGGAACAACTGCATTTGTCAAACTAGCCAAAGCTGGAGGGGGGGGGGAAGGTTTCCAAATGGAATTCTTCCAGCTGCCTCTCCAAGTACATTGAAGAGGAACACCCCCCCACACTGCATACTTGTTCCTCCAGGGGTAGTGTAACTATCTCTACAACAGACTGTACACCTGTTCCCGCATTTCCATCCTTCAATCTAAAGATCAATCTAAATCCATGTCTAATAAAACTATTTGGGTCAAGAAGATTAATCACAGGAGGTCAGATACTGATTCAAAGCAAATTGAAAGGCCATTGAAACAGAACCAGTGCATGGAAAATCAACAAGGGTGGGCCTCAAATGAAGGAAAGGGAACTTCAAAGCCTTGGTGTTGCCACTAGGAAGGCCCTGTTCCTGAACTTCTCTAGGTGGAGAATAGGCTAAACTTCTCTAGGTGGAGAATAGGCTTGCCAACTTCCAGGTGACACCTGGAGATCTCCTGCTATTATAATTGATCTCCAGACAGCCAAGATTTTCTCCAGGTCCCCTGGAGAAAATGGCTGTTTTGGAGGGTGGACTCAATGGCACTGTACACAGCTGAAGTCCCTCCCCAAACCCCACCCTCCCCAGGCTCCACCCCCAAAATCTCCAGGTATTTCCTAACCCAGAGCTGGCAACCCTAGTGGAGAAGTACCTGCATAAAGTACCTAGAGCATATTAATGCTCTCAAATAAGCATATAATGGTACTCATATATATTATACTGACAGTGATTACTTGCGGGCTCATGTTGGTTATAAGCTAATTCTCTGTCTGATTGCCCTTTTCCTGTCCTGCCAGCACATAAAGAATTTGCCAAAAAACCAAGTGCTTCTACTACATTGGTTCATAAGTTGGTCTAAATTGTTTCTTTGCATTTGATCCACAGCGCCAGTTTATAAAATAAGCTTGAGAAACCTTTTACATGGAGACTTGGAAGATGGCCAAGACCTTTTCCTGATTTGCTCTGTTACCTCGGGATCTTTTTTTATTGAGTTCAACTTTTTTAAAGAAAATGAAGCACATTCTTTGCATAAGGTAACAGAAAATAAAAACTACGCTACTACTTGGCACAAACCGGGACTTACAAGCCAAGATGCAGGGAAGTACTTCTGTACAGCTGACAATTCTGCAAAATCACGGTTACAGAGCAACCGAATCATCATCAAGAGTAAGTTTTGCTCATAGATTCACTGTGCAGAACCACTGAGGGAGGGGGCTGGGTGTCTATTCTATCCACGTGCTTGCCCTTTAGGGCAGACAGGATTCCTGCATCTTTCAAACCATATTTACACTTCCAGAGGTATACTGATTTAATGGCCATTCCCTTTCACCAGCAAACCCTCTCCAACCTACAGTTCCCAGGATTCCGTGGGTGAACCCTTGAAAGCTTGTTGATACAAGTTTATGTTTCCTAAAAATCCTGTGGACATTTCAGCAGGTGGAGTTTGACATGCATGAAAGAGAGAAAGGATGCCTAATGATGTTTACTTTACTTTTCTTCCTTTTTTTTTAACTGCCCCAAAGGGCAGGTTTTTATTGATTTTCCAACATATTACAAACATATACCAACAAACATAACAGACATACAAACATACATACAATACATTCATGGCATTAATATAGTTAATACATTTCTTGTGCCTTAACATTATTTTCTGCAATTATTTACTGTGAGTAAATATCATTAAATTTCTACCTTGTTGGGTTAAATAGAGCAAACTGTAGTTTCTTGGGATTTATCTTTAATTATTTCTGCTTATATATAGTTGTTATACCAGCTATAAAATCGTGACCAAGTGTTCTGAAATGTAGAGTCCAGGAGACCTTTTATCAAGAAAGTCAGTTTGTCCATTTCCGCTGCCTCTAAAACTTTATTTATATATTCTTGTTTCGTAGGGGTTTCCGGGGTCTTCCAATATTTAGCATATGATGTTTACTTTTCTAGGAACCCTGCCTTTCACAGCATTTAATCACCCTACCGTAGTGGTGGAAAGTGTCATCAGGTCACAACTGACTTATGGCAACCCCGTAGGGTTTTCAAGGCAAGAGATGTTCAGAGGTGGTTCACCATTGCCTGCCTCTACATAGCAACCCTGGTATTCCTTGGAGGTCTCCCATATAAATACTAACCAGAGCCAACCCTACTTATCTTTCAAGAACTGATGAGATTGGGCTAGCCTCGTGTATGTGGAGGAAGTGGGAAAGAGATCCCCCTTAATTCTGTATGGAACCTGTGGTGCTCTTGTAGCCACTCTGTTCATGTATGTTATTCTGTTTATTTTATTCTGCTGGTCTATGACCCTAATAAATGGCCGAGTTCCCTATAGTAGCAGTAGCCCTGAACTTGCAAAAAAAAGTGTGCTTATTGTGAAAGCACATTGGAGGGGAGCCTTCATTGCACCACAATAAAAGCTAGTTTGGCCCCGGTCACACGGAGCATTTGTCCCTCTGAAGGCACAGGAGTCCCGCGGAGTATCCAGGCGTGATCACACGGGAACAACTGGGAGGCGTAGCACTCCTGCGGCAAACCTGTGGCAAACCGCCAAAGCCGTGCAGTAAAAAACTAGCACACCGCATGTACTAGCAAATGCTTTGCCAAGGGCCGCCTATGAAAGCCTCCCGGTGTGATCGCGCCAGCGCGCAGCTTCCTCCCCCGTCGTCCTCTTTGCTGCGGGGAAGCCGCCATTGCATCTGATCGCATAATAGCGCAACAGAATGCGACGGCGCAAATAGCCGCGCTTCCCCCCCGCGTTTTCCGGCATGTCTGGCCGGGGCCTTTGTTTGCTTTTTTTAAGGGAGAATGTATGTTTTAATGATGGAGATAGTTGGAGGCTCATAAACTTTTAGGTGGGGCAGATTATGGCAGGTGAAAGGAAACCCTTTTCTGTGGAGGGTAGTAAGGAAACTTGCTTGTCACTAAAATGGAAACGTGCTCAACTTTTATTGACAAAAGAATTCTTCTTGAAAAAGAACTCAGAAACGACAGTATTATGAGAATGGGGAAATTGTTACCAGTGATAGCATGAGCGCTACCCCACAGCAGCAATACCACTCATATAAAATACATGCACATCTTTGTCAAAGCGAATCTGGAGCAAGGATTTGGATGTTAGCTGGCACCTCCTAAGGTGTTGTGAAAATTCTGAAAATCAATTTAATACAGAGACGTGCAAAAGGAAAAAAAGCAATGTCTACAGCAGAAGCAAGAGAAGAGTGTTTCCACATTTCAGAAAATTAAAATGTATTGCTGAGGCCACATCATGGCCCTCTATGCCCTTTTGACTGGTCCTCCAGGGCAATTAGTTGGCTGCTGTGTGATGAGCCACTGCTCTGATCCAGCAGGGCTCTTTTTGAGTTCTTATTCCCTGTACAGTCCCTCAGAATATGTTTACTTCATATCCAGTAGCTGCTGTGATGAAATTTACTCCAAATGTAATGGTTCATGTAGAATATTGCAACTTTCAAATGTGCATGATGGATGCCACATATTAATAGATCTACTCATATATCCTTTTGAAGGCCATGCCAGACAAGATACGAAAGGATCCATGATCAGATCTCCTGTAATTTTTTTTTTATGGAACCAGTTTGGACTGGAGCAGGAGGAAAGGGATTTAAATCTTTCCCTTGTGCCATCTTTCCAACTTCAAGTGGCCCTTCCAGATCTAATATTTACACCAGGTGGAAGTATACAGGCATCCTGAATCAAGCAAAAATGCAAGGGACAGTTCCAATGTCACAGGAGTGGAATAGCTGCGTCTCCTATATGGCTCTGTTTCACACTTCTCTGTTAATATAAGAATAAGAGAGAATGTTTTGGCAGAGGCAGGCATCAGGGAGACTGGCCATTCCAGTAGCAGGAGGGCAATGCTACTGTGACATGTTGTAAGCTCCATCTACATAACCTTCCTTGTGCTGAAATTACCAGCATAGCATGAAATGGAACAATTAAATTGTGACCTTTTATGTGTGTGTTTTTCCCCCAAATAATTATTGTTTTACTGTGCTTTATTGTGTTGGGAGGGGTTGTGGCTCAGTGAAAGAGCCTTTGCTTTGCCTGCAGAAGGTCACAGGTTCAGTCCCTGGTATATCCAGTGGAAAGGATCATGTAGCAAGAGATGTAAAAGACCTCTCCCTGGGACCCTGGAAAGCCACTGCCAGTCTGAGTAGACAATAGTGACCTTGACCGACCGATGGTCTGACTCAGTCTCATGTGTGTTTCAATGTGTGTGTGTTTTTAAATAACCATTGTACTTACATTGTAAGCCTCCTTGAGTTCTGCATGGGAGGAAGGCGGCTAACAAATGTTTTAAATAAATAAACTGCTGGAGAGCAGCAACTGTGCTATCAAAGTAGCAAAAGAAGAGGTTCCTGGTGGCAATGATCTGTTAGGCTGGCCATATTTGTGCAGTTCATTCTCAGTGGTATAGTTTGGTATCCCTGATTCTCTGATGAGCACCGAACTTAAAGGAAGTGGATTTATGAACCCATGTTTGCGAATCCTGACCTATTTTTCTCCTGACTTCTAGTCATTCTGGCTTCGTGGAAGAAATGGCTCATTGCATTATTTGTTGTGGTAATCCTCCTTGGCATGGGTGGTACTTTCTGGTGGTACTTCAGAAAGAAGGGAAAAGGTAAAAAATATTTTATTTCACTTGCAATTGTTCATTGAATAGCACAGAAACCCATCTTGTCCTCCTCACTGGGAGTGCCCTTCAGGCTTCCACCCTCCAGTTGCAAACTATGGTCTGAAACTCACCAGAACTGGTAAAAATGCCAGCGTAGACATAGGACAGCACCAGGGTTAGCTGCAAATAATTCATTCCCCAAAGTAGAAAAGGAAGAGGGAAGGTGCATGCAAACCTTTTGGGTTCACACAATATTGTAATTGAAATCAGAAGATCAGGCAGCATTTTCAGTTGGATCTTGCCTAAAATTTGCAAGGATGCAAGGGAGATGATTTTTGCTGATTTCTCCCCTGCTACAGTTGGCTCCAACTCTCCCCTCCCATCGCCACCTCAATCTATTTTTATCTCCCAAGAACGGGATTTTGAAGGACATTTTTGGTTGCAGTGGGAGTGGGGAGGCAGGAAAGTCATGCTATATGGAAGGAACTCTTTCCATCTGCAGAAATTTTAGACAGATCCAAGCCTATGTTTGTATCAGGTTATAACAGAATCTTATTCAAGTTGCTATTCCATTTATGAAAGCTTCTGATGATCCAAATACCTCAGGTATCCTCTGTGCCAGTCACAGCTTTGTAAAGGGAGAGACTCTTTGTAAAGGGGGATGAGGTCTTCTGTTTGTACAGAAAATGATGGATTGGCTAGTACTGCTGCTCTGCTCAGCTGAATGCAGAACCTTCCTTCACCTTTAACTGGTTGAACTGATTGAAAAGAATCCAGCCCAATATTCCGGACTGTTTTCGTTCACAGGTTCAGAATGCAAGCAAATTTTCTGATCGATTTAATCTACCAATTGATGTTGGCCTTAACCATCTGAATAGTGCTATTCAGATTAAAATATCAATATTTTTGCTCAAAACAATGTGGTTCTGGACTTTTTGATTTGTTAAGGTATGGAAAACATATACAGTGAATTAGTAGAGTTGCCAGGTCCCCCTGACCACCGGTGGGGAATGGGGGTGTCGGGTAGCCAGATCCAGGTTTGGAAACTAGATTTGGGGGTGGGGATGGAGGAGGACAGTAACCTCAGTGAGGTACAATGCCAGAGAGTCAACCCTCCGAAGCATCCATTTCCTCAAGGGGAACTGATCTGTGTAGTCTGTAGATGAGCTGTAATTCTGGGGATCCCCGGGCCTGACCTGGAGACTGGCATCCCTAGTGAAGTGAGTGAGAGACATTAGCGTTCATGATAGCCTTGCTATGATTTCAGAGGTTTCTTAGTTTCATTTTTTGTATTTATATCTGTGATCACAATTAAAATGCAACGTGCCTTGAAAGATTTTTCCAGGATGTGCCTTTTACCAATATGCACATTCAGTTTTGGGCACCACAATATAAGAAAGATATAGACAAGCTGGAATGTGTCCAGAGGAGGGCAACGAAGGTGGTGAGAAGTCTGTAGACCAAGTCCTATGAGGAAAGGTTGAAGGAGCTGGGTATGTTTAACCTGGAGAGGAGACGACTGAGAGGTGACATGATAACCATCTTCAAGTACTTGAAGGGCTGTCATATAGAGGATGGTACAGAGTTGTTTTCTGTTGCCCCAGAAGGTTGGACCAGAACCAACAGGTTGAAATTAAATCAGAAGAGCTTTCAGCTAAACATTAGGAAGAACTTCCTGACAGAGTGGTTCTTCAGTGGAACAGGCTTCCTCAGGAGGTGGTGGGCTCTCCTTCTTTGAAGGTTTTCAAACAGAGGCTAGACAGCCATCTGACAGCAATGCTGATTCTGTGCACTGAGGCAGATCATGAGAGGGAGGGCAGGAAGGGTTGCATCAGTGCTTAGTTCTTGTGGCCCTTTCTTACATGCCCATGAAATGCTGATTGCCACTTTGGGGTCAGAAAGCAATTTTTTCTCCAGGCCAGTTTGGCCAGGGATCCTGGAGGTTTTTTTGCCATCTTCTGGGTGTGAAATAGTGGTCACTGCAGGTGTGGAGGGGGAGGTATTTGTGAATTTCCTGCATTGTGCAGAGGGTTGGGCTAGATGACCCCGGAGGTCCCTTCCAACTCTATGATTCTATGATTCTATGAGGCATAAACTCAGTGGATTAATAAGCATAGGCCTGTTATTATTGATCACAGACCAATACAAGCCATTGCCAAATCCAGCTTGGAATAGTGCACAAAGCACCCAGTTACTCATCCAGCATATACCTCCTGACTGGACTGGGTCAATTGCATTTCTAACATCCATTTATTTACACAATTGTCTTTCCATTCGTGCAGTACAGTTGTAGTAACTAATTTTAATTTTCTCCCCACTTGCAGCTAAAGGCACTTCTATGGAGTTGGATGGGTAAGTTGTATTTCTTATTATTAATGGTGAGATGTTTGTGGTGGACATATATTCACTGCCCTATGCAAGGATTATTTATGTGCACTATTGGACCCCATAGCACCTTAAAATTGAGGGCTAGAAAGTTAACTTGTATAGAAATGTCCCAATAGTGGGGCCCATGATGGGGAGGCCCTGAACACCCACCACCCCTACTGGGTGGGAACAAAGGTCCTGCCTCTGCTTGCACCCGCCTTATATGGAGATCACTGTGAGTGACAGTCACTCATGCCTGCCCCATTGGGAGCTCAGACCAACCCTTGTTTGGCCCCAGGGGTCCCATACAGTGCTCCCTCTAAGCTGAGTTAGTGTGAGCTAGCTCACAGTTTTTTAGCCTCCAGCTCACACATTTTTGTCTTAGCTCAGGAAGGATGGCTCCAGAGCAAACTAATCTATACAGCAGCCAAATCGCTCACTCACAACTTTAATGCCAGTAGCTCAGAAAGTAGAATTTTTGCTCACAAGACTCCACAGCTTAGAGGGAGCATTGCCCAGAGCCCCAAAATTACTAAAACCTCCCTTGTCCATGGTGCTACAGTTCTTTCATGGGGCCCACATTATTCTAATAGAAAAGTTCATAGCTTGGAAAAAATAACTATTGTGATTTGTATGTGTTAGAGATGACTAGGTCACATAAATCATAAAAGCATGAAGACCAATGGCTCAGCATTGGGATTTATTTTCAATCCAGCATTGTATGGTCTGAAAGCAGAGTGAAGAGTACTTTTTTTTTTTTGGGGGGGGAGTAGCATCTGTAAATCCTCAGTGATTTCTTTTGGATTCTTTGCTCTCTGTTTCAAACCGTAACTATATTTATATGGTCACAGGCAAGGCAAACCTTTAAAAGGATTTCTACTGCTAAAATACCAAAGCTTTTCTTAATCTTCTTTGCTTCTAGCTCCATGCCACCAAACAATTCAATGGGTGAAAAGCTGACACTGGGAACGAATAATGATGGAGAATTGTATTATGGTAATGAATTTTTTAATTACTATTTCAGATTTTTTTAAAAAAAATCTAGGCTAGGAAAATACTGCAGTTAGTGCCTCCACTTTTCAGTCAGGTCAATGTCTTAGACAGACCTAACACTTTCATTAATATATTGAAAGTGTGTTTTGTTTTGCTATTTTAATGAAATAAGGGTTATGAGAAATATTGCAATGATTTGTTTTATTTACAAAATTTGTATGCTTTGGTGGCAGAGGTGGGATAGACAGTCTGTTAAAGACAAAGAAGGAAACCACGCTACTTGGGATGGCTCAGTCACAGAACAAAATTTTGAAGGGAAAATCTACCTCTGAGGGAGGGAAGTGTGAGGGACCCTCATAGCTGCCTTTCACCTGGGCCACCAAAGCTGGTGAATAGATTAAAATATAATTTTTAAAATGTCTTAACCACTAAAACTAAACAAAAATAATTAAAATATTTAAAAACAGCTACAATACACAGGAAGGAGGGATCTCTGAGAGGGTGTCAAATGAAACAAAGAGGTCTCACCCGCTAGCAAAAGATCAGAAGGGGATAGACAAGTATCCTTGGGGGGAGAATTCTGCAGTTTTGGTGCCATAACCAAGAAAGCCCTGCAACATTCTGCACCAATTGAAGTTTCTGAAAACCTTTCAAGGGCAGCCCCACATAGTGCATTGCAGTAATCTAATCTAGATGTAACCAGGGCATGTGTTACAGTGGCCATATCTTTTCTGCCCACATAAGAGCACAGCTGGCTGAGCAGCCAAAGTTGGCAAAAGGCACTCCCGGCCACAACTTTCACCTGCTTATTCAGCAGTAGGCCTCATTCCAAGAGCACCCCCAAACTGCAGACCTGTTTCTTCAAGAGTAGTGCAACTGCATCCAGAAGTGGTTATGCCTTAAATCCCTGGTTGAATCCTTCCATTCCCCAGTATAAATTCCATCCCATTGGGATAAAGCTCCAGTTTATTAGCCCACACTTCCTCCAATCTACCTCCAAGCCAGGGCCGTAGCCAGTGGTGGGGTGTTTGGGGTGACATATTTTACCCAATCTGCAATGCCCCTCATGCAAGAAGACCCCTGAAGTGCCCCCTAGCTCCCATCATGCAACCAAGAACCAGGCCCTCTCTTCTCGGCTGACAGCTGCAAGCGGGTCCAGGCCACAACAAATCCCCACAGTGGGGGGGCAGAGCTTTTTTCCAGGCAGCTGCCTCACAGGCCACAGAGCTGGCTGGGACACATCAGCAACAGGCCCAGGCCATGGGAGATAGCAGCCTCAGCATCCCTAGGTGCAGCGGTGGCCACAAGCCCAGCATTGCTCTTCTGGGCACCTCCCTCCTCCCCTTGCCTGGCCATGCCCTGTGGGCCCACCACTAACCTCCCTGACAGGGCAAACTGACTGGTGCCAGGCCGGGCCACCCTCAGCCACGGGAGGCCTGACTGCTCTTTGGGAGGCATGTTAACTTAATTTAATTTAATTAGTGCCCCTGGTGCCCCAGCACACACCCCCCCCCGAAAAATTCCTGGCTACAACCTTGCTCCAAGCACTGGTGGTCTCCCCTGTGAGGGTAATCCCTGGCCTTGCTCCTGGGCTGGGCTTACCAATCAACCCTCATGCCAAGATCCCTTCAGGGGATCTCCACACTCAGGAAAATGGGCACACAAGCTGCCTTTCCTGAGAAAGGATCCGGACCCATGATGAAACCACCAGTTGTGACAAGGGAGATATAAAATGTAAACCAATCCGCATGCAAATCCATAAAGCTCCTTATTAAAGGGATGGGATGGTGATACTGTTCTTCCAATGCTGGTGAGATGGTGGGTGGGGGGTTAGTAGCAGCCTGGACACCCCTACCCACCCAGCCATCCCAGGCTTGTTGATAAGCCTGGCATCGGATAGGGAGAGCGCCAGCTTCCCACACTCATCACCACCCCTGCCTCCTCTACCCAGCCAGGACACCATGGCAGCCTTTTCCCTCTCCCTTCCCTGCGGCACCGCAAAGAGGACCCTGGGGTAAGTCCCGGCCCCAGCTTGCATCTCCCAGTACCCAAAGACTGATTACCACAGGGACAGCTTACCACAGTTCTACACTACTGGGGAAACAGTGATTCACCAGCTGACTGCCTCCCTTCCCCCATAGCCATTTTGAATAGTGGTATGGAGAGCCAACTACCATATCATGCATCTGTATCTTCAGATCCCTGGCTCATTTTGAAGTGGGCAACTTTTAGGTGATGTTAAGTTTTAAGTATTGAGGCAGGAGACGATGGTCAAACGAAGAAAGCTTTATTCAGAACATTGCTCGGCTCCGGACTGCTCCGCAAAGAGCGGCACTCAAACTTATACAATTTCAACAGTAAACTATATACAATATACATAAGGTCTGATTGGACCTAAGCAGAGAAACTGGTTACTTTAGGAGGCTTCAGAACCAATGGGTGGTCTTTATTAGACAGCCAATAGAATGAGAGAACTAGGATACCAGAGTGCAATTCAAACAGCATAGGAATAAACCCTAGAACACAACATTAAGAATTAGAGTAGACTAACCTTGTTGTTAACATTCAAATAGGAGAACACAGGAAGGAGGGCAGACTACTCCATATATTTGTTTCCTAGGGCCTAGTTCAGACAACATACTATCCAGTTGTCGAAGTCTGGTGTGATTGGCAGCGAACTGGAGTCTTCTTTTCTCCCCCAAACTTTGTGAATTCCCCCCTCATTCCCTACTTATCTTCAACTTTGATATCTGGACCAGAGTAATCACAGCTACCTCTAATCACAGTTTTGCTTTCAAACTAATGCCTACCCTAGGGTAATAAACCAGTTTCAGTCTCTGGATTGAAAGCAAAAACCAGTGTCTCAGAACAAGGGCATGAACAGTAGGTGTGTAGTGGCTAGGCTTTTAATCAATACTGGCATCGTTTCCTCTTCAAATGGTGTCTGGGTCTTTTAAAACATCAAGTTTACCAAGCGTTGGCAGTTATTGTTGGTATATGTCTTGGGTTTCTTTAGGACCAGGCTATAAAGAAGAAGGTGAAAACCATGTGAAATCAAAAGAAGACAATAAAGGTAATTTCAGTTTGATTTTCATTTCTAAATACCTTTGTCACTAATTACTCGTTCTTTGGGGACCTGTTTGGTGCAATTTTATTTTATCTGTGGTTGTGGTCACATGAGCAGTGCGCACCGATATCATCCCAGTACCCTTGTGGATATAAAGAGCATGATCAGACAACAACATCTGTCTTCCATGCCCCAGTTGTCAGCACCCAGGTTCGGCGCATGCTGGAAGCGGCGTTTGCTGACTCCAGGGAAAGTCTGGTATTTACATATGCCAGCACTTCCACCCCACATTTCCCGACATATGAACCCCCCCCCTGTTGCAAAGTCAAGCCTTTTGGGAAGTTTGAACCTTCCCTTCCATTTCTGCCTCCTTTGGTTATTCTTTTTTTTTATCAGGTAGCTATGTGCACATAAGCGCATAATTACCCCAACGTTGTCAATCACCACGGCCAAGTAGTCATTCTGGATTGGGAATCCCAGGGGAAGATGTTGTTGAGTGACAAATCCCCCCCAACCCCCTCTCCTGTTTCTGCATCAGAGTTGCTGTTTGAGAGCATCCCATGGCTGACACAAGGGTATATGCACTGAGGTCAATGGGACTACTCTCATGTGCTCTTGGCACTTTACCCCCCCCCCAGTGTTCCATGGAAGAGAGGTGAAGGGAAGGTGACTGAGAGGGGCCCGAGTACTTGGCAGATGGATTGTGGAGCTGTCAAAAAGGAGCCGGAGCTTTGGATACATGCTTATGTGCATGAGTGAAATACCAAGATGAAAAAAGAGGATGCTGCAACAATCTGAACAATTGACCAAGGGGCGAGCACACCGTGAAGCCAGTTCAGGAGGGGGTGCCTGATCAAAACTTCCCGCAGCTATTTAAACCATCGCAAATAGAGGTGTGGCTAGATGACGCCACGCCTCCAGTGGGACCACAGCCTGTATGTATTTTCTAGGGTTGCATTTTAAATTGCAACAAATTGTTTGGATGCTGAAGGAGTCTTAGTGCTTGGTGGTCTATACATGCAGCAGAATGAGGTGGTAAAACTTTGAGATGGCAAAGTGGGCCATACCACTTGAGACTGTGGAAGGGGTGTCACATTTGTAATGGTCCTCCGTGGAATGGCCCCCCGCAAATTTTCTTTAAAAGCACATCAGACAGAAAGGTCCAAGCTTAGCCATTCACAGGCTGTGCTGGTTTGCCATTTTCGGGGAATTGTTAATATAGGGGAAAGGTAGTTCTTCACTCACAGTCAGAAGTAGTACTATCTCAGCATCCTGCCACTTCATTACCCTCTCATTCCCATGCATGTGTACAGCAAGTCAAAGATGTTGCCCATATTCCCAGGGAAGAGAAAGAAGAGCTATCCCACATCCACCAGTATAGTGTAGAGGTTAAAATGTCTGTGAAAGCCAGGTTCAAATGCCCGTTCTACCACAGAAGCTCTCTGGGTGACCTTGGAAGAGTCACACGCTCTCAGCCTAACCTACCTCACAGGATAGTTGTGACAAGAAAAGAACAGACAGGCGACCCGTGTGATCTTCCCACTTCGGGTCTCCATCGGGGAGAAAGGCGAGGTACGAATGCAGTAAATAAATAATTTGTCAGCAGTGCCAAGCTCTTTAAAAGCAGTAGTGCTTTATTTACACTGTTGGCATGTTTTTTTTTAACCTCGTTTAATGTGTACCTCGTTAACCCTGTTTGCCTTGCCCTTCCTGTAAGACAAAGGTAGGTTTTGCCAGAATGAGGTGGTACAGCTTTCCAACATCTGTTAAAGACGAGGACAGGTCAACCTGTGATGGCTTCTCCTCCTCCTCCTCTCCACACGCATCAGTAACGTCTCTCCAGCTGTCTGGGACAGTTGTTATCATTGATGGTGGGGAGTCAGAGATTCCAAAGGTGGCAGTGTGTGTGTGTGTGTGTGTGTGTGTGTGTGTGTGAACTGCTGTCAAGTCGCAGCCAGTTCGTAGTGACTCCAAAGGGTTTTCAAGGCAAAAAGACTAAGGGAGGTGGTTTGCCATTGTCTCCTCTGCATAGTGACCCTGGATTGCTTGGTGGTCTCCCATCTACTAACCAGGGCTGACCCTGCATAGCTTTCAAGAAATGGCCCATTCTGCACCTAGCATTCGCTCTGCTGTTTTACCAAACCCCTGTTGGAACAGAAAATTCCCCTGCATGCTGGTTTCACTTCCTTTGTTCTCTCGTTTTCATGGTACTGTCTTTGATCTCTCGTTTTCATGGTACTGTCTGCATAGATTTATGGCCGTTATATGGCAGTTCAGGGGTGACTCTGCAGTCAGTACAGCATTGGCCTGGTGTATCTGAATGTGGTTTTGAGCCGCATCTTTTTCTGTTCCAGTGTGGGTTTGGTAAAACAGCAGAGCAAATGCTAGATGCAGAATGGGCCACTGAGAAGATCAAAAAATATATTAAAATTATTTGAGATATTTTATAATCGTCTGTAGCACGGTATTTGCTGATTTTTGGACCAGGCAGAGGGCAGATCAAATCCATGCATTTTCTCATCAGGAGAGTGACAAACTCAGGCCTTGTTCCTGCATCAATGAAAGCATGAATAGCTTGCAGCAGGGATAACAAAACAACTCCCATCCCAACCCCCTAGTAGATTCAGATAAAAGAAAACATCTTCTTGCTATTTTGGGGGCAGGACCTGACCTTGAGAACACTGAAGTGGAGTATACTGAAGTAGAAGTGGCGGTTCCTGACCCCTACAGAGGTAATTAAATGGCTTTCTCGTGTAATTGTATAAAAGGAATAGCAGGGGGCTTGTCGTGTGATGAGTGAGGTCAAAGGTAATTCTGCAATTCATTTTGGAAAGAGCAGGATTTAAGCCTGCAAACAGGAAGAAACAAAATCTTTGCTTCAAAGACCAACATATGTTTCTTCTAAATATATCTTGTTTTTCCCACACTTTCAGGTTCTGATAGCCACCTGCCTATAGAATCATAAATCTAGAAGGGAAATCTAGGCCATCCTGTCCAGTTTCCAGGCTCCAGCTGTGTTCATTGCAGATGCACCCCCATCCTCGATGGGACAGAGAGCAAAAGTGTACATGACGCCTCACATAACAGAGAGCAACTATTATGAGGGAAGATTACATAGTCAAATGAGCCAGTCCGCACGCTACAGTCAAAATCAAAATCCCACCCTTAACCACTGAGCAAGACACAATCGTTTTCTCTGTATTTCCATATGCCTATGGAAGGAGTCTTGTGCTTGGACAACCAAGTGAAAAGGGCTGCCCTTGTTGTTTGCGGATTCTAGCAAAGTTCACTGTGACTCAGTTTGCAGCTGTAGAATCCCCTTTTTTTTCCCTACGCGAATGATTCACTTCCAGTACTATGAAGACTTCCTTTAGAGACCCCATTGTTGCTGCAGCTGCCAATGCTGTGCAATGGCAAAAGGGCTTCCGTGTGGCAGGGTTCCCTACATTTCCCCAGTCCCCATGGTGGCCATTCCCTCTACCCCCATGCCACCTGGGGGTCTTTTCAGGATTTTTCTACCGGTAATTGACATAGTAATATACCATTACATCAGTATATTGGTATGTCAATTATTGGGGGGGGGGAAATCCTTGAAAAAGCCCCCAGGTGCTGTAGGGGGAATCCACTGAAGCAGGGGGAAAGGGTTGCTGCATGGGTAGGACTGGGAAAGTGCAGACTCTGCCACCCATGTGTCAGCCACCCATGTTTTGCTGCAATGTTTCTGAAAATTCACAGCAAAACAGGTTTGGAAGAGACTGGGAATCCAGGGGGTGGGTGAACGCTGGAAACCCAGGAGGTGGATGAATGCCGGGGGGGGGGGGAACCACTTCCCAACAGCATTGAGCCTGTGGCAATAACCCATGTGGGAAAGGTCTATGTCTGTCTAGCACATTTTTATCCCGTCCTTCTTCCAAGGAGCTCAGGGGAGATTTTTCTCTGGGGTGTTTTCCTCACAAAAGCCCAGTGAGATATGTTCAACTCAGAGTAAGTGACTGGCCCATGGTCACCCAGCAAGTTTCATGACAGAGCGGGGATTTGAACCTGGGTTTGGGTCTAGTATGTATTCTAGCTAAGCATCAACTTACACATTATTTGTGTAATTTGTGACTGGACCTTCAGACGTCTAATTTAAACTCAAAAGGAGGGGTGGAATGGGTCAGAGCTATAGCACCTGGTTGGATGTTAACTCTTTCCTTCTTTGCCATTTTCTAAGAGGAGCCTGCCCCCCCAAAAATTTCTAGTAAGCCCAGTGATCAAGAAGATAGACACCGGTATTGTATGTATCTGTTTTCCCTACTGGATCTAACATGGAGGGGGTTTTGCCTCAGGGAAACAGGGCAGCAAGAACACTTAACTTCCCTCCTGGCTGCAGTGCCATAGCTTTGATCTAGATCCTACACCCACATACAACTGCTTTTTGTGTTTAAACTATGTGTCTCAGGAGATCCTGTCATAGATCCCCAATGTGCAGTTCAGCTTCCATGCAAACATAAGCAGCTGTATGAAACTGTTGTCTGTCTCTGAGCTTCTGGGAGATGACAATATTTTTAGGTGCACTGGGGAAGCAACATGCAATCAGATTTTTCCAGATAATGCTGTGGAGCAACTCTCCTGCCATCCTTTGGAACACTGAATATCTCTCAGCAGCTGGACCTTTTCTGCTATAAAGACTGCTTTCACTGTCTCCTTTACATCCAAGTACTGTATTCGAAATTTCAATGTGACTTTCATGTCCCGTTTGTAAATACTCTCTCTGGGTTCAGAGGTTTTGTCATGTAGCTCCTTGGACTTCCATTTTAGATTGTGGATGCAGGGCTATAGCACTTAAACTTTGACCATGCACTTCAATACCCTTAATTTTCAATCCAGATTTTACAGATTGATTTTAATCCAGATTATACAGATTGATTGAGTGTAAACCAGTGTTCCCTCTAAGATGAGTTAATGTGAGCTAGCTCACAGTTTTTTAGCCCCTGGCTCACACATTTTTGTCTTCGCTCAGGAAGGATGGCTCCAGAGCAAACTAATTTATGCAGTATCCAAATCGCTTGCTCACAACTTTAATGCCAGTAGCTCACAAAGTAGAATTTTTGCTCAAAAGACTCGACAGCTAAGAGGGAACATTGGTGTAAACCCATTGAAAGCATAAGATTGCAGCCTTAAATCATAAATAGATTAGATTGTGCCCCGTTAGTAGTACTTTTCACTAATGTCTATCAAGAAACTCGAGCCACACCCATCAGGAACCTCCACTGGCCTTCCTGGAGCTGTGATGACCTCACTGGATATTTTAAACATAAAGCCTTACAAGGTTAAAATTTCTCCCCAATGTCATGCTCATATGTTTCCTTTAAAAAAAAAAAAAAACTGCCTGAATACTCCCACGCCCAGGCTGAATGTCACATTCCAATTGTTTTACAGGCTTGGTGGAGCTGTTTGAATCACCGTTTATTAAGAAAAAAATTCACCTACATAAAAGGCATTAAGCTATGGACTAACTGGTGACATTCCAGCTGATAGCCCTTCCCACTATGTGTAGGTCCTTGATGAATTTTACTTGGTCACACTAGCTTGTAACAAGAGAAGAGTTGCATATAAATATCCTAAATCAAGGTTTCCTTTATTTTTTGAAGAGCAAAAGTTGGTTCCGTACTAAACCTCATTTGGCTGTACAGCGTAAGTTGCAGACCCCTGAGTAAAGAGATTGTCTTGGTGTGAGCAGGGGAATGTTGTAGGTCCTTGATGAATTTTACTTGGTCACACTAGCTTGTAACAAGAGGAGAGTTGCATATAAATATCCTAAGTCAAGGTTTCCTTTATTTTTTGAAAAGCAAAAGTTGGTTCTGTACTAAACTTCATTTGGCTGTACAGCATAAGCTGCAGACCCCTGAATGAAAAGATTGTCTTGGTGTGGGCAGGGGAATGTTTTAGGTCCTTGATGAATTTTACTTGGTCACACTAGCTTGTAACAAGAGGAGAGTTGCATATAAATATCCTAAATCAAGGTTTCCTTTATTTTTTGAAAAGCAAAAGTTGGTTCTGTACTAAACCTCATTTGGCTGTACAGCGTAAGTTGCAGACACCTGAATGAAAGGATTGTCTTGGGGTGGACAGGGGAATGGTGGGAGACCTCCTGCTCTCCACCTCCAGTCCACTGCTGTTGCCCAGGAGACCACAGAGTTTTGGGGGATTGCTAGAGAGTTGTGGTGATGCCTTGACATCTGTTCCAGCTACATAGCCTGAAGTGATGTTGCTGTGCAAAAATTTAAATTATCCTATGGCATTGTGTGTGGTATAGCTAGGAGATCCTAGGGTTGTCTGGCACCCTGAAACTCTAGCTCCTTTGTAGTGTTATGCAGCGAGCTAAGCTTGGTTTTTATGGGCTGGGAGAGCTGTGACTAACCCAAGGTAACTCAGCTTGGCTTCAAGTGGAAGAGGGCGGAATTGAACCCGGTTCTCCAGATTAGAGTCCATTGCTCTAGTCTTAACTACTACACTACGCTAGCTCCCTCATTGCTGTGCAATGCTGGCTGTACCCCCCCCCACCATCACCAAAAGAGAAAAATTCAAGTCAGAAATCAAGTAGTGTGTGTGTTGGGCGTGTGTGTCAGAAATCAGTAATAGGCCTGCAAGGGACAGCAAAATTAAAGTCAGGGTCAGGCTAGAAGTTGGGAACCAATGGGATGGTGCTGGTCCAAGGTTAGGCAGAAGCATGGCAAGATCAGAATCCACAAGACAGTCCAAGGCAGAGACAAAACAGGGGGTTAAAACACGGTGACACAAGGAACCAGGATTTAAGCCCAGCTTTAATTGTACAGATAAGGTTTTCAGAATGAAGAGCCTAACCAAGAGACAGCTGTTTTATACCTATAAACATGTATTTATTAGATACTTCAGTCAACTGTTCCTTTCAGAGTGTGCTTCCTCTAGTGGCCATCCTGAGGAGGACAACACAGTGCAAGAGGCTGGGCCTTCAGTTCTCCCTCACAGGCACCTCAGCTGGCACACAGAGCAAAGCTATCCCTGGTTGTGGGCTCAAGGCTCTACAACATCTGACATGTAGTTTGTATGAGACATCCATAATAAACCATTAGGAGAAAAAGAGGGAGGTTAGAGATATAAATCCTTCCTTTATTTGTCCCAGACATCCATGGTGGAGGCAAGACTCCCTGGTGCTGCCAATCTAGATATTCAGGTGGAGATGCACTGTAAGCATAAGAAATCTGATCCATATTTAGAATGGCCAAACATAAGTATGGGTTTAATGGTGTTGGTTTTTTGTGGAAGAAAAACACTGCTAATCAGTGGCACAAGAGGGTCAGCAAAACAAGGGTTTTTCATAGTATCTATATATCTAATTCCCAACTTGCCCCCTCCGTGCTGATACTTAAATCAGCACGGAGGGGGCAGCTGGGGGGCTGGGGAAGGTTTGTGCACACGTGGGCCAGTCCCCACGTGTGCACAAAAATAAAAAAAGTTAAAAAAAATTCGGGGGGATGTTAAAATCCCCCCCGAAAGACGCTCTGCGAACGCTGCCGCCGGGTGGGTGGGGAGGGG